TGTAAAATGATTGAGATATAAGCAAGCTCGTCGGCTTCTTCCTTTTGTTCTTTTCAAAAATCAGTTGGAAAGTTGCCTTCAATGGCTTTTGAAGCTTTTTGTTGGACTAAACTACACTTCATTTTTTGTTGCCAGATTAAAAAACCACATTTTCTGTTAAAAGTCCCCAAATCAAAATTGTGAGTCGTCATCTTCACAAAACAACCAAAAAATGCACAAAGCACAATCAAATCATATAAAGTAGTCCTGGGGTCACAGATAGTATACACCGTTCTAGACTCCCAAGATTCCATAAGACTCGTGATCTTAGATCAAGCGAATGTTCGAACGGGTAAGATCTCAATAATTCTAACGGAATTAACAAGTAGCGAAAGTAACAATGCAACAAAAATACATCTAACAAATAACCAGTTTCAGAGCAATTATATCACTATGTACTGAATACTGATTTAACCAAAAGGCAGGTACTCAATCAATCAATTAAGAGCAAGTAGCCCTAATTTTTAGCACAAACAATGGTTGCCAAACAATAACAACCCCTAACCTAATGATCACCCTACACGATGATCTGCTAGTGCAATAATGTAATGATTTCAGACAATTTACTAGAGTGGACCTATCTGAGTTCGTAACGTGGAGAGATGAGAATTTGCTACTTTAGGGCTACTACTATTCGCCTTAAAGATTCAACAAATGTGACAATTCCAATCAGCCATAAATGTAGATTGACGGTAAAGGGCAAAATCATCTAAATTTTCCTGCACAACCTAAAACACTAAACCAAACATATTAGTACATTTAAGAGACTAAAATAAATGAAATAACAAGAAAAAATCCCGTTGGAGGTCCTCCATGCACCATCGATAGCCGTCGCAGCCTTCTCTACCACGCGTCACCACCACAGGGGGTGCCTCGACCTGTTGGTCGTGGGTTTGGCCTCCGTTTGTCCAACCGAGGTTCGATTTGGGAGTAATTGAAATTTCCAAATCCGGTCAGATTGAAGGAAACGCCAATTTCTTCCCATTTTTGATCTGATTTTCAAAATGTAATGATAATCCATACTCTAATACCAAATTTTGAACGTGTATTAAGCACCAGAGCTTACCTAGGCTCAGTTTATACCAACTTCTAACACCACAAGCTGACAATAACAACCCAAGACAATAACCAAGCTTCCACTCTTGGCTGCTAATGAAATAGTTTACTTCGGAGGCCACAAAGGTGCACAAATATCTCATATAATATCACCATAAAGGTAGGGGTCACAAAGGGGCAGAGAGAATAAAAGAGAAATCACGCAGAGATCGGTTGAATAGAGAAGCAGAGAAAACTTCTCTCACTTAAGAGAGAAAAGAGACTTATTTATCTTGTAATAATGGCCCAAATAAGGTAAGTATAGGTAGGTTAACAAATGGGTCAAAATAGAGGCCCAATAGATAAAATGGAATGAAGTCACACTTAGCAACAATGAAATGTTGAAAACAACAAGGGAGATTGGGAGGGGCGGCAAGAATATGTGTAATTGAAAGAATTGTGATGTGGGTGAGGTGATAAAATAAGTTCAACAAAAAACAAAACTGAATAAGGAAAGAGAGAGGAAGAGGGTACCTTGGTAGGGTTGAGGAGGAGAAGAAAAATGGGGAAATTTTATGGTGTTGGGGAAAGAAAATGAGAGAGAGTAGGTTTGGGGAAAAATACGTAGTGTGAGAGGGAGAGGAGAAGAGGGTATAAGTAAAAAAAAAAATATCTGGAGGGGGGTTCGCAATGCCTGGGCGCTGCGTTACTGCCCCTTTATTTTTTATACGCTTTTTTTTTAATTCCTCCTTATCACACTCATTCATTTTCATTGTAGAACTCAAATTCCGCAATATGTAACCTTTATGGATTCTCCTACAGAAAACAAAAAACAAAAGAAAGTGTTACTACGATAGCATAGATTATTAAAGGAACAAGAAAATCAAAGCAAAAACCAATAATCAAATAAAGGGTAGAGCTTGGGTTGTCTCCCAAGAAGCGCTTCTTTTAAGTCATTAGCTGGATATAGTGCCGCAGTTATTCGGGAACAGCTAGATCAAGACTCTCTTTAGCTGTGGGGAAATCTTCCACATAATGCTTGATGCGTTGGCAATTTACTTTGAAATTTCCTTTAGTTGGATGGTGTAATTCAATTGTCCCGTGGGGAAACTCCTGAGAGACCGTAAAAGGACCGGACCATCTAGACTTCAATTTTCCTGAAAAAAGCTTAAGCCTGGAATTATATAATAGCACTTGATCCCCCACTCGAAAAATTCGTTGTCTGATGTTCTTGTCGTGCCACTAATTTGTCCTTTCCTTGTAGATGGATGCATTCTCATATGCCTCACTTCTAAATTCCTCCAACTCATGTAGCTGTAGTACTCTTGTTTCTCTAGCCTTTTCGAGGTCCATGTTTAACTGCTTCAATGCCCAGTACGCTCTGTGCTCAAACTCCACTGGTAGGTGGCATGCTTTCCTAAAGACTAGTCGGTATGGGGACATTCCTATAGGTGTCTTGTGAGCTGTGCGATATGCCCATAAAGTATCGTCCAATTTTTTGACCAATCCTTGCGAGATGCATTCACGATGACCTCCAAAATTCTTTTCAATTGTCTGTTTGACGTTTCCACCTGTCCACTTGTCTGAGGGTGATAAGGAGTGACAATTCGATGTTGCGCCCCGTACTTATACAAAACTGCTTGGAACAACCGATTGCGGAAGTGCGTTTCACCATCACTTATAATGGCCCTAGGTGATCCACAGTGGTTAAATATGTGTTTCTTTATGAAGTCCACCACCACCCTTGCGTCATTTGTAGGCAATGCTTTAGTTTCTACCCATTTTGAAACATAGTCCATCGCAACCAAGATGTACCGATTGTTGTAAGATGATGGAAACGGACCCATAAAATCAACCCCCCAGACATCAAATATTTTTAGTTCCAAAATGTTGTTAAGTGGCATCTCGTGACGCGCTGATATGTTACCAGTTCTTTAACACTTATCACATGACCTACAGAAATTGTGGCAGTCCTTGAACAATGTAGACCAAAAGAAACCACATTGGAGCACCTTTGCTGCTGTTTTAGTGGGGCCAAAGTGCCCTCCATAAGCTGAAGCATGTACTTGTGAAAGGATCGGTTTCATTTCATCCTCAGGCACACATCTCCTAATGATCTGGTCCGCCCCTCTCCTATATAAATTTGGATCATCCCAGTAATAGAATTTTGCTTCATGACTGAGCCTCTTCTTTTGCTAATAGGTGAGATCCGGATCCATATAGCCACTGGCTAAGTAATTAACAATGTCTGCATACCACGGAGCTTTTTCTACTTGCAGTAACTGTTCATCTGGGAAAACCTCATTAATATTCATATCATTTGAATCCTGCTGTTGCTCTATCCTTGATAAAGGATCCGCTACTTGATTTTTTGTTCCTTTTTTATCACGAATTTTGATGTCAAATTCTTATAGTAATAGCACCCAGCGAATTAGCCTTCGTTTCACGTCCTTCTTCTCAAACAAATACTTCAGAGCTGCATGGTCTGTATAACCTATCACCTTGGACCCAATCAAATAAGAACGGAATTTGTCAAAAGCAAAAACAACTGCAATCAATTCCTTTTCAGTTGTTGCATAATTGATCTGAGCATCATTCAATGTTTTGCTAACGTAGTAGATAACATGAAATACTTTTCCATTGTGTTGTCCAAACACTGCCCCCACTGCAAAGTCATTGGCGTCACACATGAGCTCAAAAGGCAATTCCCAATCTAGAGCCACTATCATAGGTGCTGATGTCATTTTTTCTTTCAAAGTGTTTAAGGCTTTCAAACACTTATCAGAAAATTGAAATGGTATATCTTTCTCCATCAGGTTGCACAACGGTTTTGTAATTTTTGCAAAGTCTTGAATGAATCTTCTATAAAACCCTGCATGTCCTAGAAAACTCCTGATCCCCTTTACTGAATTAGGTGGCTGCAATTTCTCAATCACTTGTATTTTGGTTTTGTCCACTTCAATCCCCTGTGCAGAAATTCGATGTCCCAGTACTATTCCTTCCTTTACCATGAAATGACATTCTTCCCAATTAAGCACAAGGTTCTTCTCCTCACATCTTTGCAATACAAGAGCCAACCGCTCCAAGCAATCATTAAAGAAATCTTCAAACACAGAAAAATCGTCCATAAAAACCTCAATGTACTTTTCTACCATGTCAGAAAAGATGGCCATCATGCATCGTTGAAACGTTGCCGGTGCATTGCATAAACCAAAAGACATTCTTCTAAATGCAAACGTTCCATGAGGGCATGTGAATATTGTCTTCTCTTGGTCTTCTGGAGCAATTACTATCTGATTGTACCCTGAATATCCGTCTAGAAAGCAATAATGAGAATGTCCTGCCAACCTTTCCAACATCTAATCAATGAATGGCAATGGAAAATGGTCCTTTTTGGTTGCATTATTTAGCTTTCTATAATCTATGCATACTCTCGACCCTGTCACTAACCGTGTTGGTATCAGCTCATTGTTCTTGTTCTTCTCCACTGTGATTCCACCCTTTTTAGGTACAATATGTACAGGACTCACCCCCGAACTATTAGATATGGGATACATTATTCCTGCATCCAATAATTTCAGCACTTCTTTTCGCATGACTTCTTTCAAGGTTGGATTGAATCGGCGTTGTCCTTCCACTGATGCCCTTGACCCATCCTCCATTAAAATATTGTGCATGCAAAGAGTTGGACTGATCCCTCTTATGTCAGCTATTGTCCATCCAATTGTCATTTTGTGCTGCCTGAGTACCTCCAACAATTCATTCTCATCTTCCCTCGTCATGTCATTTGCAATGATTACTGACAGTGTTGAAGACTCTCCCAAATATGCATAACGAAGATGGAAAGGTAAGGATTTTAGTTCAAGAGTGGGTGCTTTTTCCACTGAGGGTACCGAGGGAGAAGCGTTGTCTCCTAGAGATTCATACTACCAATGCTTTCTTCCTATGGGTTGCTCGGCTAAGTTGACAACACATTCAGATTTTTCTGCATTTGTTGCTTTCAATTGCACAAATTCTGCCTCACAAAGATTTGTGTGATGCTCTATATCAAATGTATTCATCACAAGCTCTTCAAGAACATCAACTTGGTAGCAAGTGTTGGAAGTCAATGGGTGTTTCATTGCCTTGAACACGTCGAATATGACTTGCTCATTGTCCACTCAAAGAATCATTTTTCCATCATAAACATCAATCAATGCTCTCCCGGTAGCCAAGAACGGTCTTCCTAAGATCAGAGGAATATTTGAGTCCTCTTCCATGTCCAAAATAATGAAATCAGCCGGAAAAATAAATTTGTCTACTTTGACTAGCACGTCTTCAATAATTCCATTTGGTCGTTTGATCGATCTGTCGGCCAGTTGCAAAGAGATTGTTGCAGGTTTTACTTTTTCAAATCTAAGAGACCTGTAAACAAATAGAGGCATCAAATTAACACTGGCACCTAAATCACATAAAGAATGTTCAAAGAAATTAGAACCAATTGTGCAAGGTATAGTGAAATTCCCTGAGTCTTTTAGTTTAGGAGGTAGCTTTTTCAATAGTATTGCACTGCACTCCTCGTTCAAGCATACTGTCTCATGTTCTTCCAGCTTCCTTTTGTTAGATAGGATCTCTGTCAAGAATTTTGCATAGCTGGGCATTTGGGCAATTGCGTCTGCAAAAGGAATATTGATGTGCAGTTTCTTGAAAATCTCCACAAACTTGGCAAACTGATTATCCAACTTCTTTCTTTGTAACCTTTGAGGGAAGGGAATTGGTGGCACATAAGCCTTCACGGGGCTGGGTGCTCTCACTATAGGTGTTTCTTTCCTTTCGTTCTCTTTGTCAGTTGGTTGTTCAAACTCTACTTCTTTCCCAGCCTCTTCACCCATTATTTCCTTTTCTTTTCGCTCTGGTCTCTTCACATGTATTTCTGGAAGTTGCACCCCACTCCTGGTAGTAATAGCTTGCACTTGCTCTTTTGGATTGACCATTGTGTTGCCTGGCAATGTCCCTTGTGGACGTTTTGCAAGCTCTTGAGCTATCTGACCAATTTGTTTTTCCAACTTCTTGATTGATGCTTGCTGATTCTGAAAGTTAGTGTTAATTTGCTGAAACACCTTGTCAGTTTTCTGCATGTACTGGTTGAACATCTCCCCCAAACTTGGTTTTTTCTCCTGTTGGGCATTATTTGAACTGTTCCCTTGTTGATTATTGGACCATCTGAAGTTTGGGTGTTGTCTCCATCCTGGGTTGTACATTTGAGCAAATGGATTAAAATTTCGAGACCCATTCTGAATGAAATTGACCTGTTTGTCGGGATAGCCTATAGATGTGTAGTTTTTTGTCAAATGATTAGCCCCGCAGTTCTCGCATGATGGTCCAGCTGTCACTGCATGTGCTCCTTTCGTTTGTGATTTCACCAATAAATCCACTTGTTTTGTCAATGCTACTATTTGGGCATTGGTAGAGGCTGTGCTGTCTAACTTATACATTCTTCCTGTCTTCGGTGGCGCCACTCTTTCCGATGAGAACATTGAATGTGTAGTGGCAATCAACTCAAATAGGTCCATGGTTTGCTGCACAGATTTTCCTAGAATTGATCCTCTAGCTGAGGCATCGACTTGAGATTTTGACAGTGGTGTAAGTCTAGTGTAGAAGTACTGCACTTGATTACCTATAGTAATTCCATGGTTTGGGCATTTTCTCATCAACTTATTAAACCTATTTCATGCTTCGTAATAGCTTTCTCCATCTTTCTGTTGAAAAGTTTGAATTTCTAATCTGAGTTTAGCTACCTTCGCTAGTGGGAAAAATTTATTACAGAACTTCCTGGTTAGTTCTTCCCATGTAGTAATGCTAGCGTGAACCTCAGCATCTAACCACTCCAATGCAGCATCTCTCAATGTAAATGGGAATAGTCGTAGTTTAATAGCATCTTCATTGACCCTCGGAGCATGAAAGTTCTGACAGTTTCTGAGAAATTTAGAGATATGCGTGTTTGGATTCTCTTGAGGTAGCCTGTAGAATTCCAGGGTGTTGCTCATCAAGTTAATCCAATCTAGCCTGATCTGAAAGTTATTTACCCCAAAATCTGGATACACGATACTAGAGCGCATGTGTGCTGCTATAGGTGTCAGGAACATTGATACTGTTCCGATGGTGCCACTCTTGCGGCCATTTGTTCAATTGGCTGAATAGGGATATGAATTTGTTGATTGTCAGTCATTTGACATTTCTATTTTTGTTTGTGTTCTTTGCATCTTCATCTGAAGGTACGTTCTATCTTCGAATCAAATGGTTCAAGATCCTCGCCTTGGGCACGGAGCATACAACGAACACAATTTTCTGTAAATAAAAGAAAAATAAACAAATCAAATAACAGTTAAACTAAAAATTAATTGAGACTAGAAGAAATAGTCCCTGACAATGGTGCAAAAAACTTGTTGTAAAATTTTGTTTCGCAAGTGTACGACCCGTAACAAGTAATAGTGGACCTAAGAGTCCGAATTGTCGATCCCACAAGGACTATTTTCTAGCACTTAATTCAATTTTTCTTTTAACTACTATTTGACTAAAACAAATTAAAGGTTGTAAAATCTAGGTTTTAATCTAAATTCTAGAAAATAAATGAATGTTTACACGATTGGTTGGAGAATCAAATAATGAATGGATATTATGGTAGAATAACTTCACCAATTGATCACCTTTACATCTCAAATTAAAACTCAATTCTAATGTAGTGCTCGGTCGAATTCTCCTATTGTATTCAATTTACTCCTCTCGAGTTCTCATTGAGCCTATTCAACTAATTAAATTTCATATCTCTATGCAAATTCAACTTAATTAAACGAGTTCTATGTCCTAGAAATTCAATTATGACCGCAATAAATGGTATAGGTATCTCTACTCGTTATACCAATGTACTGGATTTTACTACATGCTCTAAATCCTAAACTCATATCTCTATTTGTAAAGAATCCACAAAAATCATCAAATTATTTATCAGATAATTTAATGCATTCAACTCATAGCAAAATCAACACATGAAAAAATTAAAAACTGAAAATCTTAATAAGAGAATGTAAATAATCCCAATTGGTTACATTATTCTCCCTAACAATGAATTTAGCTACTCATAATGCAAGAAGAAAATTAGGAAATTGTCTTAGAATACATCACCGAATTTGTAATAAAGATGTAGAAGAAAAGGTAGAATTCTTACACTAAGATCTCCTTCCCCTTCCAATGAATACTTCTAATTTTCAATTCTTGGTGTTAATTTTCTTGAATTTCTCTTTTGAATCTCCCTTTTTTGTTGTCTTGTCTCCAATGTGTCATGAACCCTTCAAAGGTATGAGAAAGATGTATTTATAGATGCCCCTCCATTTTATGTAGAAGTAGGATTTTTATGGATTTAAAAACGTCCCAAAAAAATGCGCCCTAAATATTCAATCGCAGTGCCTAGGTGCTACAAGACAGTGCCTAGGCATTGATGATAGCGCCTGGGTCCTACGTCTTCAGCGCCTGGGCGCTATGATGGCGACTCTTAGGTGCTATGATGGCGGCTCTTAGGTGCTCCCTCTCGGGTTCAATTTTCATCTTTTTTTCAGTTTTGTAGCACCTAGGCGCTATGAATGCAGTGCCTAAGCGCCGTCTTTCTGTCCCAATTTCGTATTTTTGGTCTTTTCGTCCACTTAAATACCTCTTTTCGCATCGCCTCTCCTAATCTTCAAAACAACACTAACAAACAAATAAAAAATGTTCTATACTCACAAGATCTAGCATTTAATCAAGCTAAAATTGAACAAAAATCATGAGTGAAACAAACTCATCACATGAACTAGCGAAAAGTAAATAAAAATCTATTAACAATTACTATGAAAGGACATAGTATGTGTTCAAGTATTTTCTATTAATAGTTGTCATGAATTTTATAGAAATTTGATAATAAATTTATTTGTATCTTATGCATTGTTCACGAAATTATTTGTTCCGATTTTAAATCTACCGCAAGTGTACAGTTCATTAACAAGTAGTAAAATGGACCATGAGTCCAAGTATCGATCCCACAAGGATTGAATTAGTTCAAATTAACCTATTATGACCTTAACCGAAATACGAAAACAAAATTGATCTTTTTTACTTTAACTAAAAAGATGTAAACTTTGATGCAATTATGAATGAAAAATTATACTAAATGCAAAATAACTTGGATGCATTTTAACTTGAATTTATGGAATTAATGAATATACTAACGCACTAGGATCACGAATCCCTAAGCAATACCCATTCAATTTTCAATCATGCAAGTTTGACACGCAGTTACACAAAAGATAAATCAATATTCTTATTTTAATTTAGCAATCTCTCTCGAGCAATGCCAAACCTATCCTAATATATGATTCGACTATATTTCTATGACGAATACAAACATACCAAAATGTATTATAAATTTATGAATATCCAAAAATTCACACAAGGCATAGAGGTATATTTCTTTCTCCTATTAGACCCTATGATGATTTATGTTATGTCGAACCTATTTTCCTTCTTTCGAATGCATAAAATAGGCCACCACAATCACATAATTACGTGCACAATAATCAAATGGAAATAAAAACGTAATAAATCAATCAATTTCAGAACTTGCGTTTAAATACGTCAAAAATCCAAATCAAAAATCAAATGTAATATCACAAGGTTCAACGATCTCCTAACAATGATAAATCTAGCCTAACATGCTACAAAGAAGAAAATATAAAAATATTTGAAGAAACGTCATCACCTGAATCAATCTTCAATCGAATCTTCACTAGGCACGATGTTATCCTCTTGTTCTCTCCTAGCTTCTCCTTCAAAATCTCTCAAAAACTTGTAAAAATGGCGTCTCCTTCATTCTAGTCGAGTTTTTGTTTATATAGAACCCTAAAAATATTGTTTCCATAAGAGTTTCGACGGAAAAAGAAAACTGCAATTTTACCCGGGAATTGCTCTATGCAGTCGCATAGAGTAAAAATGTTGTGGCCATTTAGCTTTGGTATGCCTCTATGTGACCGCATAGAGGGTAGCACTATGCGGTCTAACTATGAAAAATGTTCATTTTGGTCCTCTTACTTGAATCATTCACTTCTTGGTATCTTTTCTTCATTCTTTCCATTCCATCATCCCAAGATATCATCAATTGGAAATTGGTTTGATCAATTTCTCGATTTGTTCATCGGGTCAAATTTTAGATAATTACACCTTGGTCCCTGAACTTTCACTTTGCGTCATTTTAGTCCTTTTTGCGTGTTTTCTCTTGAATTTTACCATGTTCGTTGTTGTTTCCTACAATTCACAAATATATGAGATTAAGTCACAATTCAATCATTTTGCTTGTTATTAAGTCATGTTTGTGACCTAAATAAGTGTGCAAAAATACACTTATCAAATTCCCAAACTTGAACTATTGTTTGTCCTCAAATAAGATAGTGACATAATTCTAAACAAACATGGCTTAATACCCTGTTATGGCTCAAGATTGGACTAAGTATTTGATTTTATGAAAATTTATCAGTGCAAACATGACATCAACATTTACTTGTTAAATGTAAATTGACGTGTGTGTGTGAATTCATGCCAACATATTAGGTTCATGATGAATTTGAGTCCCAACCCCAAAGTGGTCAAATATATCCTTACTCGCTCGAGAGATACACAACCCCCTAAACTTATTCTTTTCACTCAATTATCCCGGGGTTGTGTTTTAAGATTAGAAATTTATATAGCTATAGTCCTCACTCTCTCGTAGTTTGGATTTAGCCTTACCATCACAAGTCTACATTTCAAAAAGTGAAGGCTCTCCTAAGTTTGATTGCTTTGACACTCAAGAATAAACTAGGTTACTTGCCTTGCCTCAGAGGTATAGTCTTTTCAACCAAATGTCCAAGGGCTTTTCGTCATGTATTGTTTCTCTTTTGTTTTTCTCACCTTTCTCAAATTTCTAATTGATTATCATCTTCTCATTTGCTTTCTATATAACCTATGTAACGAGCTTTGGGCTGGTGACTCTCAAGCCAGTTGGCTTTAGGGCATTAGGTTTTAAACCCTTGTAGGCTTATTCACTCGAGTTATAAAGGCTCGATAAGATGACCTTTTATTAACTTCTTTCCCTCTTGCTTTCTGTATGACCTATGTATCGAGCTTTGGGCCAGTGACTCCCAGACCAGTTGTCTTTAGGGCACTAAATTTTGAAATATCCTTACAGGCTTACTTGCTCGAGTCATAAAGGCATGAAAAGAAGTGTTTAATTCCCACATATTAATTTTGTGCCCTTTGTTATTTTTCTAGACATTTAGTTTCCAAAACCAACCCCCAATTTAAGATTTTCACCTATTCTTCATTCCACTGGTCGAGACAATCCACACAATAAATTTCATACACGGAGCCCCCGCTCATATCAATACTTTCCTATAATAACTCAACTATCACCAAACTATCTTGAGGTAGTTTATGAGTTAATTCAATAGAGGGTTATCATTCTTTTCCTATGTTATGCTCAAAATCTAGTTATTCTCCTAATATGTCAAGCATGAATAGCGTGCATAGATAATGTCAAGTGTTGCATCAACAAGTATCAGTTAGTCTAATTAACACCCGATCCAAAGTTTGCAGTTTAAACTAGTCCAATAATATCATCATAGCTAACAAGGTTATCAAACCCACATAAGCGTGCATGAAGAGAATTTAAAACAAACTGAATAAAATGCAAATTTTTTTTGTAACACTCATCATGCACACATTATGCAGTAATGTAAATCCATGAAAACTAGATAATGATGAACACAGATAAAGAGTTAAAATTATGTCGCCCTTCCCCAAACTTAGGTAATACATTGTCCTCAATGTAAGATTAACAAAAGATTAAAGTCATAATTTTTAATGACAAAATGAAAAAGAAAAATCAAAATGGGGAAAACAGTACTCCCCTGATCAAAATGGTGGCTGTGATGGAAAGTTGGGCACGGCATCATTATCTCCAGGAGGGGAGAGAAGGTGGGATAAGATCTCTCTCAATATGACAGACGCTGCGTCTACTCCATCTGCATGGCCTGAACCCTCATCTCCAAACTCCCTAGACGATCCCAAGTCTCATTTACCCGCC